TATATATATATATATACGTGAAATATATCTCACAATTCACCATCCATTGTTACTACTACTCAATTTAGAGTAACGAAAGCGGAGAGGGGGTCAACCTTTGACCAGCCACAGGGCATCGAAATCGATTACGAAGAGTTGGAACACTTTCGACGTGACTTGCCTTCCATACTCTGCATAGCTGGAGACGCTGCATCGTGTGGCTACTGATCGATATCAGTAGTGTTTTCCCGCCAGTTTTCATCCGTATCGTCTGAGTGAGTGTTTGGACGTATCGAAATGGTCATAGTAGGCTAGCGCTTTTACTTATTCTTTCGCAGTGAGGCGTTCCAACAACAAGGACTAGGGCATTGAATTATCACTCTTAGACTCTGTGTTGTTCTGTCGATGACGATGTTGACTTACTCCGAGTTCTGTGGTTTCTTCCATGCAAAATTCCGGTTAATCTTGTTTTTGATGTATGATGAACCTGTGCCACTGGCACGCAACTGGCGTAAAAATTGCCATCACTATCCTCATCAGCGGCAACAGTTGTTGGTGCTTTAATGTTTTACAATCATGAGTAAAAATATAGAGAAAGGGAAAAGGCGGGGATTTTTCTCAAACGGTCTGATATTTTTATGCAGAACGATCACGAACAAGGCTGCTATACCTTTTAATAGCAACATTTGAGGATGGTATCGAAGTGAGCCGCCAGTGGTTGAGTTGACCCAAATTTATTTTGCGAACCTCACCCGACATGGACCCACTATAGTACGACAGAAAACTAGTTAAACAGCCTGACTAGCAGTTTAAAGCATACTCGTGACTGGGGCCGGCTACCTGTCAAGTCTTTTTAGATGTATAACCACGTGTGAGATGAATTTAATGGATCCTAATCTTGAAGGTACGTAGGTCCAACAGCCTTCATTTTGACGGTATCCACTTTTATTTCGCATACCTAAGTAGTGATACGTCCCCCAGAGACCTTCCGTCAACAAGAGTACTGAATTGGGCTGTAAACATTACTTGGATACGTGTATTATGTGCATTAACGACCTTAGCTTCTTTTGAGAGGTTTTTGGATAAGTGCTGGCTTCTGCTGATTGTCCAATATCTGTTGGTGTTCATGGTATTCATTAACAGATTTTTCATGGACAGTAACGCCATCTGAGCAGTGCATATATTCGTGGGAATTTATCTGTAACCCACTTGGAGTGCATTAAAGGGTTTATGGAACAGAAAAATTTTCTGGACTCCGACTGGTGAGGGGCACCAAAAAATCGTTTTAACTTTCTCCTTCATGTCTACCTGGCAACAATCAAAGACCAGACCCATGGTGCCAAAGTATCCGCCACATGGGACAACATCAGATGTATCACTTACACATTACTTTGGAATTCTTGATAGTCAACACCGAGTTGCAATCTCACCAGCACCGCTGGGATCGAATAACGTCATTTGCTAAATTCCCTTCACACACACAGCACTACTTCGGTCTGAATTTGGTGCGATTGGATTATAACTTGAGAAGCGTCTCGTGCTTTGGCAGCAAATTCGCACTTCAGTTGAACACGCAGGATCATAGGGGAATGGTGCGCCTTATTTTCTGGGCCATTCTTCTTGGCCTAGGCTGCCTGTTTCCAACACGGCCTCAACTCATGCTGCGCAACTTCGCGCTATTGAACTGCTTCACAAATCTACGCGGGACAGTATCAGTCTATCAGGTTGAGGCAACCTTTGGAGCAACCACAAACATGGAGCATTTGGTCCGTTTTTGGAGATGGTCTTGGTCGGTTGTATACTGACTTTTGATCAAGATTCTAAAGAACTTTGGTACCCAAGATACGCAACGCTCTGTAGATGGGCAAAACTCGCACCACAGACGGCTTCTCACAAGAATAAAGGGCATTCGGACAAACAATCCTTTCCTTTACGGTACTTATGAAGGCATTCGCAGAAGAGTCCCAGCTTGTGAAACCACACATTGTCTGGATACCATTTATCGGGCACTAGTTGGTTCCACAAGCTCACTGACCACACACCGTTCTTCTTGTGATGTGAGTCTCTACAACATATCCGGACTGAACGACAGTAGTGGATTACATCAGATTCAGCGTGCATTTCACATGGTCATGAGGTTTCACGAGGTTTCACGTGACAGTACCAGAAGTATCAACAAAGTATAAAAAGCTTTGGTTCCCCAAAGTTACTGTGACTGATTCATCAGAGGATAACAATGTTGACTTCAACTGAATTGCAAAGGGCCATATATAGTGGAAAAGTTGCCCTCGGATACAAACTATAAAGTAAGGCGCTCAGGTAGCGGATCAAGCGGAGCTATTATTGTTCTTTTCAATCAGTCAAGACTCCATTTTGAGGCGGTAACCGAAGTCTCTTACCCTGAACTGGAGCTAGAAGTACTACGGAAGAGAGGCCCTGGTAGGATACTCGGGATGTCTATTGTAGGAGGAAGGTGGTGCCGACCGCAAAGATCTTTATCTTTTATTTCTTTACACCTGAATTAAAGTCTCTGGGAATTCAAGTTATGTGATCGATTGTACAGCTCTAAGCTGTAAATCTGAAAATCTAACTCGAAGATAATCAACAAATCATGTAACTCCCACCATTATTGTGCCATTTTCTCCTTTTTTGGTCCCATTGCTTTCTATACATAAAGCCTCTTCAACTGAGTCAGTCCCTTTCATCAAAAAAAAATTGTCAAAACTATGTTTGGCCGTCGCCTTCGGTGTTTTGAACTTTCTAAGCGTGTGAATAGCCTTCTGCAACGGAGTTTCAGCGTCGGCGTACGGAACCATGCGGAATCCGCAACATTCAACTTGAGCGAGTATAAAAGGTATATGCTGGACAAAGAGCCACCCAAACAAACTGTGTGCAGCAAGGAGGAAGCTCAGAACTATATAGAGAGAATGGTGCGCATTAGACAGATGGAGAATGCGTGTTCGAATCTCTACAAAGAGCGAAAAGTACGAGGCTTCTGTCACCTTTACGCTGGACAAGTGAGTGGTTTTCATCTGGATGATTCTTAGAAATCTGTCTCTCTGTCTTATTTATTTATCACCGTTGTTAAAATTAGGCTTGTGTCCCTCTGTTTGGCTTAAGGTGGCCTTCATGGCTACGTTCGCTGGGTCACTATCACTGAATTCTTCCCAGCTGCCTGACATCTCCTTTGGCGTTTGCTATTCATGCCACACCTTACGTTTTGTAGTAGGTAACTAAAACTGTAGAACAGAAGCTGATAACATTCCATGGGAAAAGTGGGTGGGACTGTAGTAACACATGTAGCGGAAATAAGTATAATCTATATATGTGGTGCAGCTACTCCAAGCGTATCCATATTATCTGCCCGTTGAAAATGTGTAGGTCCAGTTTGTAAACAGAGACGTTGACGAGGTTAAAATGATACGTTTAATAATAGGAAGTAATTTGCACGTCTTTTGCTTTTTTGCCGTACAGGGTAACTACAGGAGTAAGACCTTTAGCCCTCTGGATATTGTCGACACCTGCAGCTCATAGGTAAACTATTTCTTGCTTATCAAATAATTCCCACTTACTTTCCATAGGAAGCTGTCGGTGTTGGAATTGAGGCGGGCCTAAAGCCGGGTGATGCCATGATAACATCCTATCGCTGCCATGGTTTGATGGTTACTCGTGGCGCTTCAGTGCTTAGTGTTATTTCCGAACTTATTGGGCGCAGAACTGGCGCATCTATGGGCAAAGGTGGCAGTATGCATATGTATTACAAGGATTTCTATGGAGGAAATGGGATAGTTGGAGCACAGGTAAGTATTCGATATCCATATCCTATCTTTTGTGTCAATCTGACCCAGTTTCTCAATATACTGACGTGCAATTATCTTAGTAAGGTAGCATTCACATTATAACAACATCTACTTTCGAGCTATCAGCACTGCGTGATGCTTGCAGTTTATGCGTTAGTGGACTCCGGGAAAGTTATCTTTACGGACACTTGTCTTCACTGGGACTCATCGGGTTGGCATATGGAGATCAGGAGCGCGACTGTTTGCGCTTAGGAACCCACTTCTGTGAGAATTTTCAGATGCTTGTATTTACTTCTCACAGTAAATTCTACATGATTGTTGTATACATGCAGGCATATAAGTCAACATGGCGCAATATAAATAGTCAATTGTTTAGAATTCTGCTTAACTTTCAAAGCCTTAGCTTTATAAGTAACCACTCAAAGTTATTGTTACTTCACTCCATTCGTCTTTTTATTGAAACGAATAAGCGTTCGGTAGCAGCTCTTTCAGCCTGGCAGGTCCATGCGATTAAAAATTTCGCTACAATTCGGTAAAAATGGATTGGTTTGAATTATTTGTATGAGTTCTGGGACTTACTTGTCTAATTATATCGAATTGATGGCTGGATCTTATAAGTAGCAATGTAGTTGGAACACGTACCGTACATACTTCTCATTTACCATCTCTTTTGCCGTTCGTAACTCTTGGCAAAAATGACGGTGTAGTGTTTTTTTATCAACCTGGACACTGTGGAATTATCGCACTTTTCACCTTGTGTTTCACTGGAGAACCTACGTGACTGATCTCAGTTATGACCGTGTTTTTCGGCGAAACTGTGCAATAATTCGTGAGCTAGACTTGTGTTTATCATGGTTCGTAAGGGGGTTTTCCGTTAACATATTACTTCAACATGTTACTTAAGCATGTTTATTCCAGTTACTCGGGACCATGTACTTTGCTCTCTCCAATCATACTTGGGGGTATGCAGCCCTATACAGTAAGCCACTACCCATACTCAGAGGTACTTACATCTATTCAGACCTTCTCACTAACTGCTTGACGATGGAGACTGGAAAGATATCTGTATACTACGACTGTTGCGCAGAAATTAGACCTGTACGCCTGCAATGGAATTGGTAATTGCTGTGCATCATGCGAATTGGCCAATCAAGTCCTCTAGTTCTGAATAGAATAGAAGGTGGGAAGTAGAAAAGAAACATCTCGCTGTAGGGTTCTCCTAGTACTTGGCTACCATGCAATGTTAAGAAAGCACAATAACTGAGCTTGTATTGTTACCCAAGTCTTAACAAGAGCGACTGAGAGTCCAGTGTTAGGTTTGAACCGCAGGTTGAAGCGGTCATAAACCGATCATCATAAACCGCATTTGTTTGATCCTTATAGTTTGCTGCGGACTGAGGAAGAGATAGAGCGCTAAGCACAGAAAACTGAGAAGAACCGAGAAACACCATGCATCCTCCACATTTCCCCTAGTTCGATCTATAGGTGCGTCATTTCGCTTTTACTTCAAATTGATATCGGACAACAATTGAGTGCATGCACAGAAATTTATAGTGAGGTAGGTTTAACAAAGTTTATGTAAAAGGAGACAAACCTGCAAGCGCATTTTGGTCACCGACTTGCCAAAATGTGACTCGTCGAGTGGATTTGGCAGTTCTGTGACAACATTTGGATTTGAGAACAAGCCTTCACCCCTACGACACAGCAATACCACCATCGCGACCAGTGATGGACAGTAGGTTTCTGCTTGAAATGACGGCCGCTTTTCCATCTGATGATCATCAAATGCTATCAATCTCCTTTGATTAAATCTGTAATCCAAATTATTGTCATCAAATTCCGTGTATGCTTAGGTGTTTGTGACAAACTCTTACCCTAGTTTATCTGGTCAAGTGGCATCAATTAGGGCGTTTCCTTGTCGCCCTCTCTTCTCAGTCTTCTAATTGATGTGCTTCCTGAATTCAGAATTGGTTATTAATGGACAGGCAACTAAGGCCAACCTTTTCTGCATTATAGCTGTCACTTATAAAAAAATTCAAACCCATGGCTTTGTAATTAGTTAGCTCATGAAAAATTTTGAACAATTAGACGGATCACGAGTTCTTAGTTTCCTAAATGTATCATCCTAATCAGTGGATGAGAACTCCAATCAACTGTATTTACGCAAATGTCCACCTGAAACGTCCTCCGGATTTCAGAACTCTCTATCACTTAGCAGATTTCGATCAGAAGGCTGCCAACCTCCTGAACAGCAGTCTTATTTTAATTAAGACCGAAAGAAGAAACACTTTTACTGCATGCTTGTGACCACGTTAATTGCGGGTGCTCAAACAATTCAGCTATCTAAATCAGCATGAAGCTCTGAAAATCTGGGCGATATCCCGTAATTGGCTGTCGTTTTGCCTAGAAGCCCTAGTTTGCGTCCCCATGCAACGACATGAGAATGGCGCAATGTTGGGTAAAAACAAACGTCACGTGAAGGCAGTACATCAATCTAGATTCCGTCATCGTTGGTCCAACCCGTCCTAGTGTGACGACACAAAATTTCCTTGCATAAAAATCCGGGCTGCTAGATTGGCTCGATGTTGAACGACATTAACTGTCATGAGATCCAACCGCATTTGGTCGTAGTGCAATGTGTCCCTAGCAAATCTTCACCATACCAGGCCAGTCGGCTGTAAACGTACAACATTTCGTCTGTAGCATTAGAACCGCTGAGCATGAAAGTTAATGAACGATTGATGCGATAGTTGTGACGATGCCTTCCTTCAGGAGTTAAGGTGGGTTTGAGATAGTCCTGGGCTTAGGATGCCAGCTTACGGACCGGGAGATCCGTGTTTCGAACCAAAAATCAGCGTCTTGACTGCTCCTGTTTGGGCCTGGGTAACCTGGCAGTAATTCAGCGAACTATCAGGAATGGTATTTCTCTCTTTCCTCGCATCGTACGAAAACGATGACTGATGACACTCCAAATACTGTCGCTTAACGTGTGGCTATGCACTCATTGCAAATGAGGATTCTTTTAGCTGTCGAATTTTCTGTCAACGTTGTAAATTATGGTGTCTCAAGGGAGTAATCAGATGACGCTCTAGTTATCATGTTATTAATACTATTCGTGACTTGAAATACGGAAATGTGCGTGATTTTGGTGCCATCCTAAAATTGCATCACAGGCATTGAGTTCGCCTGAATAAATATGGACGTTTATGGGAAAGTTTGGAAACAATCGGTAGATCTAGTGCTGGGGAATTTTCGCATTTGGCACAAGAACTTTGTCAAGCCAAGTGACTATGTTACGTAATTGGTCGAGATTTAAGACAGGAAAACCAATCAGCCAAGTCAAGCTAAGTTCGTTAGGTATCGGCTAAGAGATTTTGTGTGTTAGGGTGAGTCACCAAGTGTTAAGTCCAGCTTAAGGTCTAGTTCTTCCGGTTCGGTTCACTTGAAGATATCTGTTGAACATCTTTTTGGATTTTGCGTCCGTGTGGATGAACTAGAGCTACGAAAGCTGTCAGGTTGATCAGGTTAGGATTTCTGTCCCTTTAATACTCCTAATGATTTTACTTGACACGTTTCACGTGTAGACTCTCGCTGGCTCAAAACCTTCGATTCTATTCACGCAATCATGCCTGGTACTTTTTACCGATCCGGCGATCAGCCGCTGTGGTGTGAATCACAGTTCCGCCGTAAAACTTCCACGTTCTCCAAATCTATTCTAAGTCCCGTATCGGATGCATGTTGGCCCATCGCTGAGTATTTGACCGTCGCTTCGTATTGCACATTCTTCGGTGGTTTGTTTGTCCTCCTTTTATACTCACCAATTCTGGTGTACGATTCCCTGACAGCTTGCCCTATGTAGACCTTACTGCAATCGTTTCAGTTAATTTTATACTCACAGTCCCTAATCCTTCCAATCGGGAGAGCAGCTTTCAATTGCACCAAAACTGAGCGTGGTGCTTTTCCCTTCTGAAGTGCTACTCAAATGTTGGCTAAGTTCAACAGCCTTCGAATAACCTCAGATGTTCCTGATTTGTATGCAATGACTGTTGTGCACTCCATTCCTTACTGGGTCCTGATACTGGAGCCAACATCCTTCCCAAGTGCCACCTAATCAAACCCACTGGGTAGCATACTTCTTGAATTCTGTTGGGCTGCTGTTCGGTCGATCTCTTCTGTGCACAGCGCTCTCATTTGACTAAACGTCGATGAGACAATACTGGCGTACACAGACTAGGTGTGGTGATGACTTGTTCGAGACGATCCCCGTGTCTGTTGGTTTCTGGTAGATTGTAGTTTTTAATTTTTCACCACTTATGTGTCCTGCGGTCTAGGAAGGGTAATATGCCCGAGATGGACTCCATCTCCATGCCAAACTTCATGTTTGGATTTAAACTACTGAGATATTCGTGGAAGCTGCTCAATCTATCTCGTTTGATCACAACAAAGGTATCGTCAAGGTAACGACGAAAAAAGTTTGGTGGATAATGATATCCGGCCAAGGCCATTTATTCGAATTCCCCCGTATAAATATGAGCTGAAGCTGAGGTTAGTGGACGTCTCATTGCAAGACCTTGTTCTTGTGATTAAAGACTGGTGTCAAAAACAAACTGATCGAGATTAAAACACACTCTTGTGCCATCAACTACTTCATCCACAGGGAGCTGTGTCCGTTTCTCAAGTGTTGTGGCTGTCAGTAACAACCTCTTAGTAACCTCCATAGCATCTGCATTAGGGCTCTTTGTGTACATTGAGATTACACCAAAACCCACGAGGACTTCATTCATCTCCAAAGGAAGTCCCACAACCTTATTGGCCAAGTCGTACGGATTAATAATTAAGGTGCTTGATTTCTTCGTGAATGGTTTTGAGATACCAGCTAAGAATCTCGCTAGCTCATGCGGTGAAGAGCCCTTCTCACCCACTATTGGCCTTATCGGAACATCTGCTTTGTGGATTTGTGGCGGTCTGTAGAGTCATGGTTGAATCACACCTTTTGGGTA